GTAAATAGACATAAAAATTAAAATATCTCCTAAAATAATTATTTTTTTACATAAATAGGTTATTACTTTTTTGTAAATAATATGAAAGAGCATCAGATGATGCATTAAAATATATATGATTCCGTTTAAAAAAACATTAATGACTCTCATATGTTCTTTACACGTCCACCTATAAAAAAAAAAATACCATCAAGTATGAGCCCCTTTCAAAGCCATTCAACTCCATGTGAAATATGATCTGCTACGCGTAATAATAATAACGTAAATCTAGATGGTAAAATGTGGTGACCCACCAGTATATATATATATATATGTATATTATTCGTAATAATTAAATAATATATGTGTATGTATTTAAATATTTGTTAAGAAAAACATATTGAAAAGTATAATTGCACTTTATTATAATATTCATTTCCAGGTCCCTTCACTATGTTTTTGCCACTCACACAAAGTAGACAAAGGATCAACAAAATTTATAACATTACATGTATCCGTTTTATAATAATTCGAATGAATGCATACGCATGGAAATAGTTTCTTACATTAATTTCACTGTCCTATGTTTTATCGGTACTGAATTCTTTTTCTCGTCGTAGACGATACTGTGTTTCTAAAACTAGTGTTTTCATAACATTGTTTTCTAACGATTATATATATGCATATATGTATACAAATACGCATATATATTTTTTATTCATACATAATATAAAGAATCTTATGTTATATATAAGCATAATAGGTAATTAATTTAAAGCTGCAAAAAGTCTCAGCGCCATTTACATTTTATTCATTTTTACAGTACTTTTGTGCACCTTCGTGATTCGCGCAACATATATATTTAAATGCATAAGAAAAAAGAATGTAATGCCTAATTTTCATCTAGACAAAAGTAATAGCATTATCCACAGCTTTCTACAGCTCAAAAACAACTGATACAAATTATTTAATCTTCTTTTCATATTACTATTATCATTATTATTATTATTAATATTATTAATATTATTATTATTCTTTTTCGTTAACTATTTTCAAGCAGCTGAACCCTCTTTGCAGCTGTAGTAATTTAAAACTTTAATTTGTAATATATAATATATCTAGATAACAAAAAATATATAATATTTTACAGTACCATTAAATTATAATAACTGTAAATAAGTTGTTATCTGTATGCAAAGCGCATAACAGATTTAGCCATGGCAACTGACAAATTGGATCACTCCTCCCGAAGTACGGATAGACATTTCTTGAGCAACTCTGCGTGCGCCTATTGGAAAATAAATGCTGAGTTAATTATCTTTGTAGATATGTATTATTTATTTTATGTATATAAAATTAAACACACTAACTTTAGCATGTTTTATTTCAAGTTCTGTTAACTCAATAAGGTTCTTTTTAAATGCTGCTACACGCCTCGTTTTGAAATCCGTTAATTCTGAAATAAATCATTTGACTTTAAAATGTTATTAAATATATATATAACACACTATAGATACTAATTACATACCTTTTTTACCCTTTTCCGACATCTGTTCGAATTTTTCACACGCCTCGGTTTGAGCTTGTTCTGCCTTAATTAACAAAAATATATAACTTTAGTACAAAAATGAATTTCATTCATAATTCACTAATTCATTGTCTATTATATATAATAATGTGTGATTAAAGTATGTCTTCCTTTTTAAATATCAGTGATAATTTCTAATAAATAAACCACTCTTAACAAACATTTTCATCATTTATAAATCACAGTAAAAGATAGAAGACTCAACTGTATTATACGCTCTATTCTGTATTTCAAACTAATAATACTGAAAAAATCATCATGTACAATACATATATGCGTATATGTTCATAATAATTCTGTAAATCCTTAAATAACAACATGCAATTTTATTAAGTCATGCATAACATTTATTTGCAGTCTCTGCTTTTGTGCAATATTTAAATTATGATAATTTTCCTGCTTAAAGAGTGAATCTGTTCAAAATTTACTTTTTTAAATAATTGAATAAAAATAAATATAAATATATTCTCGTTAATTATAAACTACTACACAATAATTGATTATTACTCTAGCAGGATAATTGTGCAAAGAATATTTTGTATGCATCATAAATACTTCGTGTACCGCTTCTCATATCTATAAAATATGAAAATGGTTCTATTAATGTCCATGTAAAGTATCCGATCAATTTCAATGGAATACACATATCTATGTAATTTATATCTTTAAAAAAAAAAATAAAGAGATAATATAACTCGCAAATATAGCAATTTAGATTATCAAGCGATATAGCAGAACAATGTATGTACGACACAAATGAAGAAAGACACACCTCAGCAACTTCCAGTGCCTTGAAGTGCAAGAAAAAGTTAAGTTGTTTATTATTAGAGAATATGATACGCTATATTTAAATAACATTATAAACATGTGTTTTCCCTATTTATATTAAAACTTTTTTTTTCTTTGTTAATTCATTTATTATTAATATGCAATTTGATTTTAAAAACGAAAGAATACTGAAGAAACTTTTTTTGAATAAATCAATTTTTTCAATGAACATTTCTATCTAATAACTATAAATAGAATTTTCTACCAATACTTAATTTCACCTTACTTTACATTAAATTTGGATTAAATATATACTCACTGCATGTACATCCTTATTTTTGGCACGAGCTTTTTCAAGAGCACGATTCGCAGATTCGTACGCATGTAAAGCTTTTAACCTTCTAAAAAGAAGCTTTTTCGCTGCAGCAGTATCCCTCATGTAATAACGAAGCGTATCAGACAATTTCAAATCTTCGTCGGATGCTACTCGTCCTTCGACCTTCTGTAAAATCGTAAAAACAATAAAAAGTTTAAAAAGATACAAAAATTGAAAGTGACATTAACATTGTTACTTAAAAGTATAGAAACTTACCCGTAATTTTTCAAACGTTTCAGCAATCTTTGTTAAAAATTTCTCTAATTTACCAGGATCTATTGTAGCTAATTGTAAAAGATTAGTAGATATTTTAATATACGAATCGGCTACGTCTTTATGCTTAACAGTTTGACGATCGGAACGACTCGTTGCTTCTTTTAAGTTCTGATGATACAATTGCAGAAATGTCATTTCTTGATCAAAAAAGTCATTTACATCTTTAACAGTTGCCTGCAGATAATATTCATCTGTAGTTTTGGAAAAAGATTTCACTAAACCACCAAACATTTCCATTTTATTTTTTCCTAAAAACAAAGACAACATTTATCGCTGTTAATATTGCAAAACTAATATCGAAAGAGTATAAAGAAACTAAAGAAATATTTACCTCTCACGCACAGATCTTGATCGTACTCTAAAAATACTCTAAGATTGTGATCATTTAGAAAAACTGGATGATGTGCTAATCTTGTTAGAAACATTTCATGCATAGCGACAGTTTTCTTGAAAGTAGCCAAATATTCTCTGTAAGGATTATGTTTTTATTAAAAAAGTATTGCATAAAAAATATAATTGAAAGCGTTCTATTTAAATGAATATAGAACTTACGCTTCTAATTCTTGCTTCATTTTGTTAAATTCTTCTCTTGTCATGTTACCTTCACCCTCTCCCAATTTTTGTAACTTTTCACGTGATGCATCAAAGTCCGGTCTTGGTGGACATGGTGGAATCTATGATTCAGACAGATAAGTTACTATTTACTTATAATGAAGATGAGGTTAATTCAAAGGAAACATAATTTATCATATTAAGAAAATAGAATACGTACAATATATCCAGCGTACTCCTCATTTTCCTCAAATCTGTCATGAAGCCAGACAAATTCCTCATGCTGTCTTACAACCAAATTCTCTGGCTTTTGAAAATCAGGCAAGGAAGTTTTAGTGTGTACAGTAAATTTCACTTTATCCTTCTCACTGAGAGCATCAGATATATCCACTCGCAGAGGCTTGTCTGGCAGATCTACACTATCAGCATGAATAGTCTAAAAAATGTTAACTCAAAGACATTATTCGAGTAGAATAATTATCTAAATGAATGAAAAATGTTGAAAATATGAGGAACAATAGAAATGTCATTATATTAATAATAGGAAGAATGAAAAATGTAAATACCTTTTTCGGAGGCACGCTGTTTAAAATGTCGGTAGTGTCACATATTCCGTCCTGCAACATTTCTCGCTTATTAAATACTGTAGATCTCCTTTTTTTTAAAGGGAACGAACAATGCCAGAGTTCCAACTAATTAAACGCATGGAAAATTCAATAGCCTACCGGCCAAGTGATAACAGGTTCCACCTACCATCATGGCGCCTGGTTGCGTCTTTACGACGCAGCACGTTAGCTAATGTCCAGTGTGTCAAAGGAATCTTCTAAATAATGCTTCACCGCCTTATGGAAGGTACATCTGCAATGATAACCCTTCTGCAGTACTTTATGGGAAGCGCGAATGCGTTTAAAACGATAGCGAACAACGCTCTTGCTTTGACGAAGCCCGCTCACGTTCAACTCACGACATGCCGCTCTCTCTAGCGTTTTCTATCGTGAGCGCAACAGTGAGATTCCAACGTATCGGCAAATCAGCTGTGGATCAGGTCAGGTCAGCTGCGTCACGCGGAATTTATTTGAACGTGTGTCAAACGAATAATTCTATGACACATATAAGTACTCAGGAGGAGAGACTCGCGCACAACAGATGATATGATTTTCTTCTAAATAGGAATATATATATATATGTATATTATAAGCGTTAAATGTCAAATATCTTGACATTTATTGGTTTTTAATTATTGGAGAGGATAATGTTTAGATATATTTTCTAAAATTAACTTACATCGTTTAATCGTTATAGCATATAAGCATAATAAAAGTATACAGTGCTAAAATATCCTTTGTTACAATCACAAAATATTTTGTTACATTATAAAAAAAAATATATATATATATATATAACAAAGAGATACATAGATATAAGAAAAAGTACATAGCTAACCCATTAATACTAACGTCAAATGATACTTTTTGGATCATGTATAGGTATTGGATCTGTTCAACAAATATACTCTATATATGTACAAATAAAAATAAAATATTATTCAAAAACACTATTAACATGTGCATTTAATTGCCATAATTATATAATGGTAAAATAAATGCATACAATATGATATTTCAGTTTTGTGACACTTATCCTTTTATGAAATTCAAAGTGAATTCAATATTCAAATCCAAATTCTACACATGATTTAAAATCTTTTTATCATTTTAGTTAAGAAATATTAAACTAACATTACGATGTCTCCATCAGATCTAATTAATGTTCCATAAATATAATGCAATAAAAGACTATATTTTCTGTTAATGCACATCTACACATTTTACATATACTTAATCCTTTTTGTCCTTGTATAGTTGAATATGTATAATGTACAATATGATATTTTTGGACCTTTTTCGAATAGGATACATTTAGAAGTATTATGCCATAATATGTCTAAATCAATATCTTTGGTTAAGATTTACGAATGCACTCTATGTAGTTAACTCTTTAGATTGTATGGTACTACAAACGTTCTCCAATTAAAAAGAAAAATCTGCAAAATTTAAATTCACTGTCATATCATCAATCATTGACTTTTAAAAATGTATCATAAGTAATGATACCAATCACAACAATATAAATATTGTAAATAGTGAGGTTTTGTATAATCATTACATAGAATATAAATTTGGTTACATAGGCCTCGTGATGTAATGGATTACATATTTTATATATTCGTCATCTTATACATCAATACATACGTATACATAATGTCGCCTTAGGTAGCCAAGTGTAATTTTGTATTCCTGTTTAAAGCCAATCGAACTCGATTATTCCAATCCACGATGCATAATTAAATAAATGAAATTTATAATATTAAAGCACATCACATATATTACATGACAGTAAATAAATGTAAATTATGGAATAGGAATGCCTATCCCTTCCGCCTTGTCATCCTTCTTTACTCATCAATGATAAAGACATTTACACCTTCAATAATATGTTCAATATTTCAACATGGCAAATACATTTAATTCCCATATTTTACAGATAGAAGTATATATCGTATTATATAGCAATGAGCATAAAGTGAAAATACTTTAAATTTAGTAATGTAGAGAATATCATTTCTCGATAGTAAAACAAATCAAAATATTACTAGCACAAATAAACTACACATGGGACTTTGAGAAAATGAATTCCATTAAAGTATTATATTAACTTTTAAATAACGATAAAAATAAAAAAAATAATGTTACATAAATCTAAAAGTAAAAATTATATGGATTTTCATGTATATATGTATATGTATACAAAATATACTAGGTAATATTGTGATGATACAAACTGATCTGATAATCTGTAAATCAAGATTTTATTATATTTTATGATTCTAATGACGTATAACACTTTTGCTATATAAAACTCCTATCACCATGTATATAATATTTTTCAAATAATAATTATACCAATTGTGTCACTCGTTACCTCAAGATGCGACGCGCGCAAAATTAAATGTACAAAGTCGGTGGTTGAGATTAAAACGAGGAGCAGGAGTAAAAGGATCGATTTAGATCGGAGAAGGATGTAGCGGTGGGCAGGCAACCCCCAGCCCCTAGCAGCACCCACCGCCCTGTGCATTTCCTTGTCCTCCGGTGCCTGCTAATCCACTAGGACTTGTCGGAGAATGTTGTGGTCCAATTTTAATGCCATTTGCCTAATTAAATAAAATAATAATAATATTAACAGAATGATATGCATCATTTGATGAAATCTAAAATCTTTCATATTAATAAATATTTACCTCATTATTGATATCAAATACACCCTCTTGTATTTTTTCATATATTTCTTTCGCTGTGTTAATGAACGCTTCTTCAACATTTGCTGCTGTCTTTGCACTTGTTTCCATGAAAACAAGTCCATGTTCTCTGGCAAATGCTTCTCCTTCTTCCCTTTTTACTTCTCTTCGTGAATCAAGATCACTTTTATTTCCAATTAACATGATCACCATATTTGAATTTGAATGTTGCCTAGCATCTTCCAACCATGTTGTAAGATGATTGAATGTTTCTCTACGTGTAATGTCATATACCAATAACGCTCCTGCTGCACCACGATAATAAGATCGTGTAATAGAACGGAATGCTTCTTGTCCAGCCTATAATGTATTTATACTTACATTTGAAAAATTCGGAATTAATATAAATTATCAATGTTATTCGATAATTACCGTATCCCAAATCTGCAATTTTATTTGTTTAGAGTCAATGGTAATCATACGAGCACCAAATTCTACTCCTATTGTTAAATCATGAACTGGTTGAAATCTTTTGTCTGTGAATTGCAATAAAAGGCAAGATTTTCCAACACCTATATTAAAGAAAAATAAATATAAGTATTATGTAATAATAAATTAAATGTGTTACTGTAAATATGGTACAAGACTTTAATTATAAAGCATATATTTAAACTAATGCGTTGTAGCTTGGTATACATATATATATACTGCTACTATATATATATATATATATATACTATATGTATTTTATACATATATTTAAGTTAATAAAGCATATAAAAAAACAATTGTATACAAAAAAAGAAATATTTTACATCGAGGTCAAAGTGAAATAGCATACCAGTTACTTACTGACATAACATCAAACGTAAATATAAAAATTAAAAGATCTACTAATAAATTCAACTATCATATTTATTTTATGTTTTAGACACAAATAAAATAGATACACATCTTAAAAGTTCATATTAATTAAAAAGAAATTTGACAGTTGTGATGCAATATTGATAGGTATAAGTGTAAAATAAAAAAAAAAAATAAAAAATGTTAGAGTATAAAATTTCTACGAATAGAAACATCATTCTATGAGAGAACAAAAACAACGAAGGGATCCTGTCAGGTCATTCTTAATGCGGAATATAGAATATGTTGAAGGGAGAGGTCCAACTATAACACCATGCCAATTACCTGTATCTCCAATAATGATATACTTGAAAAGGTATGCATACGACATTTTTAAAACTTGGAGTTTATGATGTACAAGTATCAATATAATAGAAAACACAGCTTCAATTTTTTCACTGCTTTATCTCTTCTGCTTGGGCATGACGTCACTAAATCACATCGGTAATACTCGGATATATTCGGTCAATCCTCATTCGTATTTCCGCTGCTGCGCTGCTGTCGTTTCCGCTTACTTGTAATATTTTCTTCGACTTTCTTTTATTGAAATATTAATAAATATATTAAATCATAAAGTTCATTTAAATATCAGATAATAATGTACCAATATCCTTTTATCAAACTTTATTATATTATCATAGAATAAAAATAGACTAAAAACAATAATACAAAACAATGTATTAAAAATTTCATTACAATTGTATGTTACTACTTTCAATTTTATACAATTTTTTGTTGAACTTACAATTAAATGTATAAGATGATTGCACCACTACTGTATAAAATATATTTCTATCATCATAAATATCGTATCATATTTATTTTCTTTTCAACAAAAAATATGTAAAATTGTGTTATTTGTAATTACATGATACAACAGTATCATATAATGACAGGAATAATACTGTCAAAACAATAACATATCATAGAATAATGTTGGATAAAAATAATTGGCTTTAATTTTATGGAATTTCATCACGACGATTAATCACCATTCTCTTACAATTACAGATACTTACAAAATTTCTTAAAGTCATATATTCTTGTAATCGTACAATCTATGTACTCGTGTTCATGTCCGATAAATAAGACAAAGAGAGGAGAAATATGTGGACCAATCAGCGAACGACAGCAATGCGCCGGGTCTCGTGCTTCGGTGGCTACTTTTTAGCGAAGCCACGTCTTCGTAAACCAGTAGTTCTCCGATAGTTAGGTGCGTTGAAACGATAAGAAAGAAGCTCTATTAATTTCATGATGCTACCTAAAATTTTCGTTTTTGTTAGTTTACTTTTTCTAAATGTTTACGCTTCCGAAAGTGACGTTCTTGAATTAACCGATGATGATTTCACGGACGAACTTAAACGTCATGAAAATGCACTTGTCATGTTTTATGCACCATGGTAAGAAACAATAATTAATTATACTCTTGTTTCTATTATTTTTAAATATATGTCATACGAAAAATAAAATATGTTAAGCATCGATCGTCTTTATATCTGATAAAAACGTTAAATGAAAAATTGAGCTTACATCAATGTCAAATTTTACATACGTTAAATACCGGTTAGCCATCGTACTTTTAAACTTATTGTTAACGACAATTTATCTTATTGTAAAATTATTTTCTTGTTATTTTAATTTATAATAAAGCCTTCTTTTTATATAAATTAAAACGATATGATAAATTTGTTAATGTTTCTTTCTATATTTACTTTACTTATCACAGTATAAAATTTGTCAAGACATAAATATGCATTTTTTTTTTTTGATTAAATAAATTAAATGAAAAATTATTTTTATTATTTCATCGATTTTCTTATTTTTAAGTTTATCCATTGTCTTGTGTGTATACATTTTAGTTCCCCCGATGTATAAAAGTAAAATATTAATTACTTCTATCTGC